GCGCCCGCAGTCGCGTTTCGGCCGCTGCCGGTCCGGGGCGCTGCCCCGCGCTGCCCCCGATTGCTCGGTGGGTTCCCGGAGCGCAGGTAAACGGCCTAAAGATCCCAGCAACAAAAAAATTAAATAAAGTGGTGCTTGTCTCTCACCCTAATAAAAAAGCCGCTTTGGTTTCCAGTATGCGGTGATGTTTTACTTGCCTGGCGGCCCTGACCTGGGATCTAGTGCTGTCAGGGCAGTAAGAAAGCAATGACTGAAGACAAAAGGAGCAGTCCGTGGGGAATTGTACTTCCTTTTCCCCTCCCCCTGCTGCTGGGCCTTCTGTACCGAATAAATCGGGAAACCCGTTAAGTAGCCCCACTCGGCCCCTCTATAGAAACACGGAGGGCGCAGATGACGCCGCGCAGGGCCGAAGGGGGAAGGCTCTCGCTCACTGAGCGCACACGTGCAGGGTTGTGTGATCTTCAGCACACCCAGCTCTGCTGCGGAAAGTGTGGGTATTTTAAGGAGGAAGTTCACAGAATCATCATCATTATCCCGTAGCAAAAGCTTTTCTTCACAGCTCTTCAGAGTTACAACTTCGTTTTTCGATGAGGACTAGTGATACCAGCATGGAGCTGCCTTAGTTGGTTTAACAACGTTCCTGTCTATGTAATTCACTTACATTAGAAAACAACTTTTGAAATGAGATTATCTGAAATTTTTTTTTTGCCTTAAATGCAAATCTGTCTTTGATATTTCCTGGCTTAGATGCTTGTAGGAAAATGATCTTTTTATTTGCTGAAGATAAATTAAACCTTGAGTATTTCACTATAGAAAGGAAAATTATGCCACCAGTTGATGAGTCATAGTTTTAAAAAAAAGTAATGCAGTGATACGTGACTAGGTGAATTTCACCATGTGCTGTCTTTTGTGAGTTCTCTTTAGCGCGTGTTTTTGCATAAGCTAGAACTTCTCCATTTGAAGTGACAGAAATGGCTGAGTGAGCTCTGTTCAACTGCTGAATCTTTACAGATATCTTTAGGTCATACTAAATTATGCTGATTTCAATTTAATGGTCTCTTTCCATCCAGAGAATGGTTTCTCTCTTGAGAGTGGCTGTAACATTCAAGTAGTTTTTTGCATCCTTGTTTTCTTATTCTACCCCAGCGGCAGCTGGTACTGTAGGTCACCGTAACATGCTGTGACAGCCACGGATCGCCTTGGAAGTCAGTTGATCAGTGCTGATGAAGTGTTGCTTGTGTGTGGGCATACAGAAGGGAGAGAGCCAATCTAATGTGTAAATCTGGTGGTGGAAACCAACTAGAATCACCCCAAAAGAAAGGGGTTGGGTCCTAGGGCTAGAAGAATCCATTAGGAGGGGGAGTGGTGCGATGGATAGGGCGCTGGGTTGCAGTGTGGCAATTCAGTCCTGATCTCTGCTTGAGTAACCTGGAAAATGTTATTTCTTTCAGCTTCTCTCACCTGCAGAATAGGTATAATGAAACTGGCTTTTCTTAACCAGGACTGATAAAGTGTAGGTGATGCTGTGCAGTCTGTGTACCATGTGCTGTAGAGTTTCTGCATCACTGAACTGTATCTTCCTCTCACATTCAGTCTGAGAGAGAATGTGCAGCTTCTTGTTCAAGTTATTAAGCACTCGCAGCAAAGGAACTATTTTTTGCCTAGTTCTAACTTCGATGGCTGAGCTCTTACTCCCCCCAGTCTCTGACGGATTAAGAAAAGTCTTTTGCTATGTGGATTTTATTACAGAGATGCTTGTCATCTTTCATCAAGTCATCTCTCAATCTCTCTGACTAGGTAGAAGGAAGGATTACGAGGTTTTATGTGCAAAGTCTCAAGCAATAATAAGATCCAGAAGTGACCAGAAGTATGAAGTCTTTCTTAAGAGAAAGCAATTTCTTTGTACCTTTTGATGATTTTTTTTTTTTTTTTTTAGCATTCTAAGAGTGCTTGAGTTGTTAACCAGAGAGATTTAGCTGTTGTTCGCCAGTCTGTTGCTAGAGAGATAAATCAATGGTAGACTAAGATCCTCATGAGCAAGAATGAAGGCGCTCCTTACACTACCAGTGCATTAAGTGCTGGTCCTAAAATCAGTGTAACTGTACTAAGACTAGTTGGGACACTCCTGCATTATGTGATCCTATGAAAGATGTGCCTGCTGTGCAAGGGGTGTGGGCAATTGGCATAGGAGTTTCTATGAGAAAGAACTGAAATAAAATGTAGCTAATCATGGGGATCTGCGTCGAAATTCTGCTGGTCTTCTACCAGTAGTAGTTAGGGTAGCAGCTTTGACAAAATGCTCTCTGGAGAGCCATAGCAGGAGTGGCATAACTCCAGCTAGCTTTAGGCACAGAGAATATATTACATGATCCCATAAATCATGATTTAAGTGAGGAGGGAAAGCATATATCTTGCTTTAACTTACGTTTTTTCTGGTCAAACTGGAATCCCTTTCCCTTGGTTTTGAGTAGTAGTTAGGGTAGCAGCTTTGACAAAATGCTCTCTGGAGAGCCATAGCAGGAGTGGCATAACTCCAGCTAGCTTTAGGCACAGAGAATATATTACATGATCCCATAAATCATGATTTAAGTGAGGAGGGAAAGCATATATCTTGCTTTAACTTACGTTTTTTCTGGTCAAACTGGAATCCCTTTCCCTTGGTTTTGTTTTTTTTTTTTTCCCTGCTGATGTGCAGG